TCTCCTTGCTCTCGAGACTCCTCAACGACGGGCAACCAAGAACGTCAGGGGCCTCTTTCATCTGCCCTATCAGCTTAGACTGAAATCTCTAAGAATATACAGTAGTCGATATCGGCTTTTGCGGGGGGATCTCATAATGGTTTACCAGATTCTGAAGAACCCAAACCACATTTGCCGTCCGCTGCTGGAATTGAACCACAACACTAAACTAAGAGGTCACCCTCTGAAACTGACAATTCATTATAGCCGGCTTGAATGCCGTAGAAATTTCTTTTCTCTCCGCGTGTGCCAGCCTTGGAACGCCCTCCCTAATTATGTCATCTCTGCTCCCAATCTGGCGATGTTTAAAAAACGTGTTGACGATGCATTGTCTCACTTACATTTCATTTTATGACTTGTTAGCCAGGGGCTACAAAACGCAGCCAAACGGTTTCTTGCCAAACGCCTAACCAATGGATTTTTGGATTTATACATTTGATATGCGAACATCTCCGCTATTCCACGTAAGTCTATGGTGAGTCCACCACAACGCTTTTATTCAATTGGTTTTCGCAATAATTTCCATCCCACGGGACTTGTTAAGCGATGCTTTTTTGCCCGTAATAAACCATTGTCCATTGTCCATTGTCCATTTAGTGAGTACAGGGGATATAAGATCGGTTTCTCCTTGGAAAACATCCAACACGACATAAGAGGACCGGTTAGGGGCATTCTGGGTAGCTGGGGCACACAAAAGAGCAGCCAACATCCCAGTCCGTTCTGACAGACAGCAGGCAAAGTTGGTTGTGTGGCTTCCTCTAAACAGCCAACAACTAAAGGAACTCTAAACAATTTTTTGCAGGCACTTCGTAGTGAGACACAGGCTGACGGCCCCACACATCCAGGAAAGCGCTAATCGTACGTTTCATCCTATTGGGACTCGTGAGTAGCGCGCACCCGCCGAATCCTGCGGGATTCGTACCCACGACCTTACTCATGCGAGTCAGCGACTTATGCTACTGAGTCATGGGCAACGGCAGCGGACCGCCATGACCGATCTCTAACTGAGATGAAGCGCAGCTCATCTTGCATGTTGTGAATTTGCAGAGGACACGGCTAGCCCCCAGAGCAACGACTTCCTTTGCACGCCGTCATCAATCGAGGTGGCATATAAGCTGCTAAGGCGACTGCTGCTTACTTGTAAGTAGTATGGGATTTATTAGGTCGTCTTAGCAGGTTACATGCCACTTCCTTTGGTGACGGCCTGCAAAGGAAGTCGTTGCTCCGGAGGCAAGACCCGTCCGCTGCACATTCATAACATGCAAGACAGTGGAGGATGAGCCGCGCTACCTCGCTGTTAGCTATCGGTCATGGTGGTCCGCTGTCGCTGCCCATGGATCATGGACATAAGTAGCTCACTCGCAAGAGTAAGGTCGTGGGTTAGAACCCGATAGGATTCGGCGGGTGCGCGCTACTGACGAGCCCCAGTAGAACGACATGACCGTCTAGCACTTTTCTGGATGTGCGGTGGCTGTCTGCCTGTGCCTAACTGCGAGGAACCTACACAACAACCTAATAAATCCCCATACTACTTACAAATAACTCATAAAAGCTTCGTTAGTGACTCTACCTTTTGCTCCAGGGAAGCGAACAAAGACCACCTCTGCTGGTTACCCAACCAAACACTGCTCCACGACTAATCAGTGGTCTCAAACCGTGTAGATTGACGGCTACGGCATACAAGACAATTGAACAGCATACTGTCACTAGTCGAGAGCATTTCTTACTGAGAGGAGCTCAAGGCGGTACAGGTCTCAACGTACCAGCAATGGCGAAAATAGCACCGCATGCCCACGGACTAGTCCGTCATGGGCTTACAGCAGCTTATAGAGTCGTATACCGCATTAGATTCGTCGATCAACGTAGCCGCAGACACCTTAGCACTTATATTCAGCGAAACCGACATGACCCTTTCAAAGCGTGTGAAACAACAATCAAAATGTAAATCCGACGAGCTGGTGCCTGAAGAGTCGTCAACAGAAGCAGTTACGGGTTAGAACATTGTGTAAAACGGTTGAAAAAATACAAAAGGACCATAACAACAGCCAGCGGAAACACCCGTAAGTAATGAACGATGTTAGTTACGTGCCCGAGAAAGAGTACGACGCAATCAGGGGAAAACAGTGACCCATAAGCACTTGGATCAAACGAAATTTGACAAGTCAAGTTTTCGGATGACACCTGTTAACACTGTTCTGAAACTGTCTTTTAAAAGTAGAACTAAGCAAAACAGCACGCTAAAAAATTTAAATTTTCCGGCAATCGAGTAACAGGAGGAACAAACTTCATTCTGCCATAAATAAAAGTGCCGCTGTAACTGCCCATAATAAAGGTTTGTATCAACTTTGTCCGGATCCTTTTCCGGAATTATTATACATTTCTTGACACTGGTCATAGACCCTGAGGTCCATGATTCAAAAAAATATTGAGGTTGCTCTTGTGTTGCTTTATTTCCTGTGCAGTGACAAACAAGACAACTGAATTCCATGTACTAGGGGCCCTGGTTTGTTTTCCGACACAAGAAACAGACCTTGGTTAGGCGGTAGCTTATTCTCATCTTAAGGCTTCAGTGCAATGCGAGTTAAGGCTTTAGTTCTGAACTGTGAGATCTCGATGGCCGGCTCTGTCCAGTTAGCCTGCGATAAATTTAAGGCATGCCTTACAGAGGTTTACACTCCCTATATCTCACTCATGAGAAAAAGAGGATTAAGGGCGCAGCCTCCAAGGATAGATACCACAGACAAGTATTTACACAAGAAACGGTCTAGATGTTGGCGAACCTACCAAGCAGCTCCATTAGCCAGCACCTATGATAGCTATTGAGAGATTAGAAATAAATATAAGCAACATCTCAGAACTGCTCGTCTCCAGTACGACCAGGGTTTAGCGGACTCAGCCGCAGCTAATCCCAAGAAGATTTTCGCTTACGTTAAAAAACGCAGCGGGGCAAAACTGTCTATACCAGCTTTATTGCGAGCAGACGGGACCCGTGTGCAAACTGACTATGAAAAGCCTGGTATACTTAGTGATCAGTATACTGGGGTCTTTGCTCGGGAGACCTCTCCACCACACGTTGAATTGGTTTCAAAAGTTCCAGAGGATTATTGCTTAGATGAATTTAGCAAAACGGAGACTCAGGTCTTCGAGCTACAGCAAGGCATTAATCCCTTTAAAGCTTCCTGTCCTGATTCAATTCATCCGAAGCTGTTGCATGAATTGGCCACTGAGCTGCGTGGTCTTCTTACATGCGTGTTTTCAATATAGCTGGACAGCTGCATCCTACCTTGGAAATGGAAGGAGGCAATCGTCTGTCCGATTTTTAAGGGCGGTGACAGCGCTCTACCCGCGAACTACCGGCCTGTCAGTTTGACAAGCGTAGTAGTCAAGTTGTTTGAAAAGCCGATAAGGGATTCAGTGGAGAACCACCTGAATCGAGTCAACCTTCTCAGTGTTGCGCAACATGGATTCCACAAAAGATTTTCATATCAGACTAATCTACCTGTAGCTCGTGAAAGCTGGGCCGAAGCTGTAGACAGAGGCCATGTTGTAGACGTGCTATTCGTAGATTTTTCGAAAGCTTTTGACACTGTTCCACCTCTTCGACTCTCACTTAAGTTGAGATCTTACGGGATATCGGGTCGCGCCCTTCAATGGGTGTCTGCCTTCCTTGGGGGAGGGAACGCTGCGTACGGGTGGGGCAGAGCCATTCGCTCAGGCAAGCTGTCTATAGTGACGTTCCGCAGGGCTCGGTATTGGGGCCATTGTTGTTCGCGATCTATGTAAACGACTAGCCTGGAGAGCTAGGGGCGTCATCACTAATGTTTGCTGACGACCTTAAGCTCTGGAATATTGTGGATATCCCAGAGGGTACTGAGGCAATACAGCTTGCCCTGGATAGGCTCTGGGTATGGTCTACCTTATGGTTGATGCCCATATATAGGACCAACTGCTCTGTTCTCCGAATCGGAGTTGCTAATCCTCCGGCCAGATATGTTGTCGGCGGTGGTGAACTCCCATGTGTCACTCAGCAGCTTGATTTAGGAACCGTAGACGCAGCAGCACTTCATTCTGGAGACAACTGGAAGAAGGCTACTTGTCGAGGGTTTCGTATGATGTGATTTATCCCCCACTCTTTCGGAATCCTAACGGCCAATTTGGTTGTGAAGCCATTTGCGGCATTCGACCGACCCCACTTGGAATACTGTATTCAAACTTGTCCACCATGTCTTAACCTAGACAAAATCGACTTAGAGAGGGTGTTGCGAGTGGGCATTCGGTTAGTGCAGGGTCTACGGGGACAGACATATCCTGAACGCTTGCTCAGTTTGCTTATGTACTCCATGCACTACCGAAGGATAAGAGGGGACCTGATTCTCACTTAGTGTATTTTGACGGGTAAGGTTATCTCGGACTTGTCAGGGCTACTTAGTCCCGGTAAGTTATCGAATCTCCGCGGTCACCCACTGAAACTGCATAAACCACGGTCTGAGAGGATTAGGCCGGAAACTCGTCTGTCGCGCCGAGTTATAGATCGCTGAAATTCGCTTCCAGATCACTTGGCTATGGAACCTACGGTTAAGGGTTTTGCGCGCCAGCTCGATGGTCTTGGGTGGCAACAGCAAACTTTTCCTTTTTCCTAACTGACTCACCTTCACTTCTCAGTTCTTTTTTAATGACTCAAATATCTTGGTATTCCACTTGTTTGGCTCTTTCCACTTTCTCTTTTGCCTTCTGCGTTTACTTTTTTCTCTTGCTCACTTCACGTAACCGGCCCAGCAGGGACTGCTAGGGCAGAATACGTGGGCATTAATTGGTTGGACAGGGTGTGATGTGGTCTTTGTTTTAGGTCCACCAGTATTTCAAAGTCCGCCAACTCCTGGTTCAACGACCCGCCGAAGAAGGAACGCTCACGGGATCATCCAATCATTCCAGTCCCGCTTGCACTTGAACTTGGAAATTAACTGACTTGATCTGACCTTGAACGTGACAGGATGGCTGAACTGCAGCTCAGGTCAAATGCTGCTCTTGCCCTTTCCCGAAGAGTCGGACCATGGGTGTCGTATTGTCTGTTTTCTGTCGTCTTTTTGGGGCAAAAAATTACAAAGCCCTAATTTTGGGTTTGGATAATGCCGGGAAGTCCACGATCCTTTACCACTTTGTATTGAAAGAAGCCATTCACACTCCACCAACGATCGGGAGCAATGTTGAAGAAATACAATGGAAGAATTTGCACCTTATTTTGTGGGACATCGGTGGTCAGAGCTCGCTCAGACCATCTTGGAGCACTTATTTTGCTGGGTCTGATGTGAGGTTTTGATAATTATTCTACTTGCAGTTCGTAATTCTCGTTGTTGATAGTACCGACCGTGAACGGCTTTGGTTAACTAAAAAGGAACTCCACCGCCTTCTTATCGCCGAGGTATACAATTCGGTTAACATTTTGATTTTTGGAAGGAATTAAAGAAGTCGTGTATGCTCATTTTTGCCAACAAACAAGACGTTTCTGGCTGTATGTCAGTTGCTGAAATTAGCCAAAACTTGAATCTGACATCTATCAGAGACCGTCCTTGGCACATCCAAGCCTGTTGTGCTTTAACCGGTGAAGGGTGAGTAGTTTCATTCTTGCCTCATACTTCAGCTACTTATTTATTTTTGTCAACTGATCCTAACTTCCTTACATGTTTAGCGGGAGTCTAGATTGCGAATCCAAAAGACAGATCGAGTAGCAGGGAAACGTTTCTTGGTATATAAACGGTTTCTTGTTTACCTAGCTATAAAAAACGACAACGTTGACGCTGCTAACTAGGAATGGAGAATGCACAACATTGTCATCGAAACGAGCACCAAGCCAAAATTGTGATGCTCAACTCAAACAATCGAACTTAGCAGCCATTTCAACAATCCGTCCTGGTCGCCTGAGTGTACAATAATTTTAGTTAGAATTTTACGCAGTCAATCCGAGGACTCCAGGCTGCTACACATGAGACGCGTGCTGCACTTCCCGTTTTCCCTGATCAAGTGCATTTTACTCACCTGCACGGTCACCATGATGTTGGTCAGCGATGTAACTTATTGGAAGCATTTGCTACGTATGGGTTTCACGATGGCAAAGACGACGTGCAATGGGCCATAACCGCGCGGGCCATTACGTAATCGTGCGGTTTGTTCCAAGTTCTCTAAGCAGCTTCAAGCAGATCAAAACGAACAGGCCTTTACATTAGATAGGTACATGGGAAACTAGGTATTTTAAGATAAATTTGCCATAGCCGGCTCCTCAATCCAACTCAGCGCATTGGCGATAGTGTGGCTTTCAGCTGTCGGTGGGAACATTTCACTATGCCGTTCGCCTGTAGATGATAGGCGGTCGTGCGAATGCGTCGGCATCCGGTAACCTTAAGATCGTTAAAAGTCAGATTCGAATTCCAGTCCGTCGTCGCTGTGGCTAGACAGCCGTGTGAAGCGACCCAACGCTCGACGGAAGCGCATGTTACCGTTTCCGCAGCTCCGTCAGGAATGAGGATGGTTTCGAGCCAACGAGTGCAACGGTCGATCATAATCAAAATATAGACCATTCCTTTGGACGGTGCCAATGGCCCAACTATATATATAGCAAAACGAGCTGAAACTGGCAGCAAACGACTAAGCGGAGCAGACGCGTGCCACTGTATCTTGGTTTGCTGGCATGTGAGGCAGCTGTGTGCCGAGCACGTAAGATCGTGTTTTATCCCCCGCCAAACGTATCTCTCGGAGACGATCTTAGCAGTAGCTTTAATACCTGGATGAGCGATGTTGTGGAGGGTGTTGAAGACGATATGGCGAAAGGTTTCTGACACTACGGGTTGAGATCCTGCGGTAGATGTGTCGCATAAAATGATACCATCAGATGACGGCAAAGTGTGGGGATAACTTCAATAAAGAATCACGGAGTTCCGACAAACTGATCGGTTGATTGTGCATCGGCTATGGCAGACAGTTCGATTACCTGCCCATTAGGACTGATGGTAGATATTCTAGACAGAGCGTCAGCGACGACATTCTGTTGGCCAGAAATGTGTCGGATATCAGTCGAGAATTAGGCAATGAAATCCAGCCGACAAATCTCACGTGGTGAGTGTCGGGCTGACTGCTTTCGGAATGCGTAGATAAGCGGCTTGTTATTGGTGAAGATAATGAAGGTGTTACCTTCAAGGACGTGTCGGAAATGTCGAACGGTAGAGTAAACGGCCAGCTGTTCTTGACTGTACGTGCTCTACTTGTAGGTTGTAGGCGTCTGGAGTAGAAAGCAAGAGGTTTCCAACATCCATCTGTATGTTGCTATAGAACGGCGCCAATGATGCTGTCCGATGCGTCAACAGCAACGCTGAAATGGCGGAAGTGATACAGCATACCGGCTTTGGCTAAGACCACTTTACTAACCTTGAACGCTTCGGCAGCAGCAGCAGTCAGTTCCACCTGGCCGTTTTTAGGTCCAACAAATAGGTCAGTTAGTGGGTTTAGCAAATTGACACTGTGTGAAAGAAAACGTCGATAATAGTTGAGCATGCCGTTGAACCGGTGGATAGCGGCTAACGTAGTCGGGACCGGAAAGTCTCTGATGGCGCGGATTCTATCGTGTAGAGGCCGTATGCCATACTGATCAATATGGTAGCCAAGAAATTCAATGGAAGGCTGCTGGAATGCGCATTTGTCAGCGTTGACAGTAATGTTGTCAGCGTCCAGTCTATCGAAAAGTATCTTGAGATGTTCTGCGTGTTGTCCTTTAAAAGCGCTTGCAACTAGAATATTGTCGATGTATGGATAGACGAAATCTAGACCTCGTGACGGAATCCTTAAAAAGTCTGGACTGCGTTGCAAAGACCGAAGGGCATACACAAAAATTCGACGAGCCCAAACGGCCTGATTACAGCAGTCTTCGGTATCTCTTCCTCAGCGACTGGAATCTGGTCATAAGCGCGAGTTAGATACATTTTCGAGAACACACGAGTGCCCGCACAGGCTAGCCGTGATGTCCTGAATATGAGGAATAGGATAACGGTCGGGAATAGTAGCGTTATTGAGTGCGCGCTAATCACCACATGCACGCCAGTCTCCTGGCTTTTTGGGCACCACGTGGAGCGGCGACGCCTACTTGTTTTTAGACGGGCGAATGATGCCTAGTTAAAGTATGTGCTCGAATTCTGCGCGAGCAGTTTTTAGCTTTTCAGTAGTCATTCATCTTTCTTTGGCGAAAACAGGCGGACCTTTGTTAACGATGTGATATTATGCAGCATCAGTGGCGGGTGGCAACGGTACCATTACACGGAAGGCTTGTGGGAACTTGCTATTAAGCATCTGACCGAAAAGTTAGCTCCATTGGTTGGCGTATACAGGACTGATTGATTCTATGTCGGTCAGAGTACCTGTAACTGCCAGGTTTGTTTGCCGATCGATCAGACGGCCTTGCTTCGCGTCAACAAGCAAATCGATGTGCTGCAGAGAGTCAGCCAAAAATTGATGTCTGAACATCTGCGAAGAGCCATCCATTTAAAAGAACGTCCTAGGTTTAGATTAAGCGAGCGTTGACCATACATGCGAATGGTTATGCCGTTAGCTGCGCGCAATAAACTGGTCGCCTCTTCACCAACGTCATTGGAATCACGTGGGATGACGCTGACTTCTGCGTCAGTGTCAACGGGATAGCATACTCCCATACTGCGATCGAGGATGAAGAAAAGCCGACTACGACAGCCAGCAACGTCCGTCACCCCTACGTGCTCGTCGGCCCCTTTCCCTGCGTGTTGTGCTTGAAGAAACAGGACGGGTGACACGATCTGGCCTGATGACCAAATCGTTCGTGGTACCATCAATAGATTGACTTAGGAGATTTCGAACGTGATCTAGGGCGTGTGCGACTGCTGGAACGATTTCGATGGTTGGATCCGGACTGTGTTTGGTTATCTAGTCGATTGATAAGTGCCGCTACTTGCGCTCTTAGTTCTGCTACCTCCGTACTTGAAATAGACTGAACCTGAGAAATTTGGGCGTTGAATTCCAAACTACGGTAAGCAATGTTGGCGAGCTATGAGAGACGCATCATTTGCATACAGGGGGTTACGTATGTCGTGTGGCAGGCGACGTAGCCACATCTCTAAGCAAAGAATCGGCAATAGAGAGAGGCTTGGCCAGTCTGCATCTTGCACAGCAGCTGAGGTTTTCGATCGCCTAGTTTGATTTCGTTAAGGAGCTATGTAAGGCGAGCCTGGTCTGATATGCTGAATCGCTTTAAGACGACGGCCTTAAGCTCGTCGTAAGTCTTCTGATATTCAAGAAACTCTTAAATGTCCTCGAGGTCGTCGACGACTTGCGAAGGAACCGCTGCGACAACGCAGTGAAATTTGACACTAGCAGACTTGACGCCACTTACCAAAAAATGGATTCTAGCTGAGTAAACCAGGACTTGGGATTAGTCTCTCAGGAAGGCGGGATAAGGAGACTGAACCCACTAACCTTGGGTGAATGACCCTCATGGCGAAAAGAGCCAGTATAAGTGTACCCAAATAGTAAAAAGTAAAATTAGAAGTGTAGACGAAATAAGTTATCTGATCTGAAAGGAAATATTAGTAGCAAACACACCCAAAATATTTTCGGGGTCACCAATTATAGCGCATCGCTCGTGCGCTATATATCCGGTACGAAACCAAATGACCTACCGTTAGCGTACGGAAGAACACACGAAAATAAGCTAAGGAAAAGGTTTATTGAACTAGAGTAGAGTTAGGTAAGGCTAAACATAGGACATCAGAGAAAAGCTAGCTAGGAGGATGTAGTTGGGCGTCGAGTGTGTGAACGTGGCGTCGTTCGCAGTCGCGTCGCGCACCTGGCAGTCGGGTAACACCAACCAACGCCAAGTTCTAATTGAAGGATTTCATTCACTTAGACCAAGTCATCGCTTGGCTTCCCCTCCTCTTCCATCCATACCCCCGCAAAGGGAAATGTGGTCCTAAGAGGAAAACCACCGCCAGGGATGACGATTACCTAATACGGGAAAGTGTTAAAGATCCTCGAATGACTAGTGACGCATTAAAACGTGATTTGGTGGAGAAAGGAGTAGAAATCAGTTCTTCAACGCTTCGCAGGCGACTCCTGGAAGTTGGTCGGAAAGCCAGACGGCCTGTGAAAAAACAACTTCTGACAAAAGTAATGAAAGTTGAGCGTTACAAATGGGACTAAAATACAAGAACTGGACAAAAGAAGATTGGAGAAAAGTCCTATTCAGCAATGAAAGCCATTTCTATGTTCATGGTCAGAGAAGTCAGTATGTTCGGAGGTCAGAGGGAGAAAAGGTTCGTGATTCCCACATTGACCACTTTGTGAAACACCCACAAAAGCAGATGTTTTGGGGGTGCTTTAGTTATTACGCCGTCGGCGCCTTGCATCCAGTCCAGGGCATGATGCGCTTTCAACAATATATAGAAGTGCTCCAAAGAAGAGCTGTTCCAGAACTAAAAAAGACATTTCCTGACGGATCTGGCGTATTTCAACAAAATCTGGCCCCGTGCCACACATCAAAAATGGTCAAGACTTTTTTCAATACTAATCAAATAACCATCTTGGACTGGTCTGGGAA